CATAGATAGGCCTAAATAAAATGTTTTTAATTGTGTACCAGTTTAACGTTGAATATTATTTATGATTTTAAAGGTTTCAATATTGTTCCACAACTCTGACTTTTCATTCTGAACTATTTTGTTCTTATCATGCACAGGTACGTGCAGATAGTCTCGGGTAATGTACACCGGTCATTATTTTAGTACAAGTAAATGAGTGGAATGCCTGTCTAGTTGCTGACCTAGGAGTCTATATTTTCTTGTTTCTTTCTTACCACAGAACAAAACAGTTGTAATGTAGAAATATTTTCCTTAGATCACTTTATGACACATGTTAAGAATTTTGTAATATATTTATTTTTCTTAAAATGCTTGGGTACCATAGTAGACAAGTCACTCATAAATTGCACAGAACTATTAACCCTCATTGTACTGCATCCAAAATTTTATTGTATCATGGAATGTAAGTTTTAGTTTTGTGCTGTTCCTATAGCTTACAAAAGGGGATATTATCAAGAGCTGATATAAACAGAAGTATAAACATATTTGTTAGTACAAGTACCTTCGGTTCATGTTGTTTTTAATACCTCAAAGAAAACATAAAACACAGCATAAAAATGAAATCTGTATGTATACATATATATATATATATAATTTCTGAAGTCCTTTAATACCTTTTTCTTTCTTCAGCAACGGCATAGGGGCTGTTCCTAACATTGGAATAAGGCTTTTTTCTCCCTCTGGATTGGGAATTCGGATCCATTCAAATATGTTGATGAAGACTGTTTTTGTTCTGTCAAAAAGCTGCATATACAATACCTATTTATTAAAAATTACCCTTCATCGTACATTACAGGTAAATAGTCCACAAACTGATAAAAAAGTATCTACATTCCTCCCAAATCACAGTAAACATTTTTTTTTCAACCAATAATTTTGAATATTTTTCATAAATATTGCTATATAATATTCTAAAAACTTATTCAAAATTGTTTAACATTCTTACATCTATGATGATCTAAAGAAACATTATAAGCTGAGATCATGTAAAGTGCTCCAATTTCAAAGCAGATTGAATGATATATAACTGTAATTGTCACCCTTTTTTCACCTTCTAAAGCAGCATAAACTCACAAATTTTTAATTATTTGATTTAATATAATTGATACTTGAAACTGTCGATGCTAGGTGAAACTCCATAATTACAGAAATGAGGAAAAACAAGACAACTGTACAGTCACAGTCTCAAGAAAGTATGAAGGATGGCAACAGGTAGATGATGGTACCCAGACAAGGAAGAAACAGCCACTCAAAGTAAAGAACAGAAGATGAACGTATGAGTAGTTGTCCCAGCACTCAACAGATGAAATACCTCCAACAGACGTGAGTTTGGATATGCAGGGAAAAGGGAAGGTGCATGATCTGAGTGGAGACATGAGGAATCGATGATGGGAAGAAGGTTACAAGGAATAAAAAGCCAATCAAATCACAATCCAAACCCAATGGATCAGGGAGTAAGGAAAAAAAGGAAAAATCAAAGACAAAGCAGTGGAGTAAGGGAAGGAAATCGTGGGAGATGGATTCAACAGAAAAGCCTTGAAAACAATGAAGCAACCCAAAGCATGTAATGAACTGACGAGGTCATTTGGAACCAAACAAGAAGAAATGTAGATGGTGGTCAAAAACAGAAAAAGTCAAAAGGAATATACCACATAAGCCACGAAATGGAGGTAAATAAAAATGATACAGAACAAAGGAAACAATTGAATCAAAACAGAAAAAAAAACAGATTTGTGCCAGACAGGAAATCAATTCGAAAGACGTGAACCGGAGTGACATTGATGAACAAACATTTTGGGAAAAAAGTTGATGGAAGGAGAAAACCTAACGTGATAAACTGCTTGTAATCCTGTCTGAACATATGGAGATCCAGGGCAAGGGATGATGAACTAGAAGCCAACAAATTCACATGGAGGAGTACCACAGGAGGTAGAGCTATCAAAAATTTGGAGAATTGAGAGGTCCCTCCTAGGGAGAAAATATGATGGGACTGGAAAGGCAATGAATAACAAGGACAAAAACCTGGAACACAACCCTCCAGGAGACGCATGTGAAGTAGGTGGGTTCAAAAAGGGAGATCCACTGTCTACCACAAAAGGAACAAGAAAGAATGTCCCTTTGGCAAGTGACAGAAGCCACCACCATCGAATAGTTGAAATGAAACATAATTAGTCGAATTTGGACAAAATGAAAAGAGTGAATGAAAGCACATTGGACTGGATGATGTGCCAGGGTGTGAAGGGAAGATCATAGCCTACTACAGATTGAACCCCATCCCCAACCAATGGAAATGAGTATCAGGGAAGAGAAACAATCCCGAAGAGGAGAAGGAAGCAGGAAACTCAACATCATAGGGGATATGAAAATTTATCAACTCATATAGAAGAAGAGGGAAGGAGGAAAAGAATAGGAAAATCAATGGATGGTCCAACAGAGAGATACCCACCCCAAAGAGACAAGAATGTGAGGTATGAAACAGGAAAAACAACCCTAGCTGACTGTGAAAGGAATATATATATATATATATATAT